ACTTTCTGTCCAGTTTCTGTGCGACGTTGTGTGAAAACGCGGGGCACAGATCCAGTTTGTGTGGATTAACCAGCAGATTTGCCCCGTGTGATAACGTCCTATGAATTGTTCACAGAGATCAGTCAAGATGCAACCACAGCCGTGGGTACAGATTAGTGTGGTTAGTCAAACAGTAATCACCTGGTTCATATAGTTGGTACAAGAATGATTATTTGGATTTTAGGGCATGGGGTTCAATCCACCTGGTGTGTTGGGTGTATGAAGGGTTGGGATTGTTCATTTGGCACCTTTGTTAATTAGAAACATCTATGATCAATTTGTGGGGACTGTACGCCTTGATAGGATCCCCAAAGGGTAGCCAACCTAAAGATTTCAATAAGGAGGATGAGACACCCTATTCCTAAAAGAAGCTGAGTCCAATTAAGGGCCTGAACAGACTGCTAGAAATAATCCAGTTTGAGATCACTTTAATGGTCCTGACTCAATGCTAGGGAATCATGGGAATTGTAGTTTTTTTCCGAGACATTGAGCCTTCTTTGTCAGATAACTCTAGTGCCATAATAAACTACAGTTCCCATGATTCCCTAGCACTGAGCCAGGGCAGTTAAAGTGGTTTGAAGCTGGATTATTTCTGGCAGTCTGTTCAGGCCTTAAGTTGCCTGTGGGGCCTTTGCAGACTGCCAGAAATAGTGCAATTTGAGTCCACTTTAACTGCCCTGACTCAGTGCTAGGGAATCATGGGAACTGTAGTTTATTGTGGCACCAGAGCTCTCTGACAGAGAAGGTTCAATGTCTCAGAAAAAATACAATTCCCATGATTCCCTAGCACTGAGCCAGGGCAGTTAAAGTGGACTCAATTTGCACTTTTTCTAGCAGTCTGCAAAGTTCTAGCTTAGCTGGAAGAATGTTTAATATTTGAGGCATAGTTTTGGATTTTTGATCCTGTTTCAAGTGAGGACCAGCCCTTTATGGTTACAATTTAGGGTTCTGTGCTATGTATGGAAGCTGTAATGAGGGCAAAACAGTGTGTTTTGGAGCTAAATCGGTGTCAAAACTGGACTATATCTGCAGTGTGTTTGGGAACCCGGATTATTTCCAGAAGTGTGTTTCGGAGCTCAATTGGTCTCAAAACTTGATTATTTCTGCAGTGTGTTTTGGACCTTTATGGCCATACCATTCTGGGAAGTGCGCCCCGACAAACTACGGGGGGTTGCAGACTGTCAGAAATAGTGCAAATTGAGTCC